GTATTATCCTCCAATTAATACCCTAAATAGAAGTGATTCTTAAGAACAGTTTTCCTATTAAGTCTCCCAATGCAACTCTTTGAGGACAGAGGTCCTGCATGGGAAGTTGGTGCACAGTGACCCTTGTTGTTTATTTAACAAATAACACTCTTGGCAAGGACATCAGTGATCACCAAGGCTCTTGACATGAGCTGCCTCGGCTGTGGAAGCCTTTTTGATCCATTGGCTCAACAAGGCCATAAGCAAAGTGCACATTCTCTCCTCCCTTCAGAGAAAGGCACATCCTTCTTTGGTGGCCACTTCTTTCCCCTGGGGTCTCACCCACAGGGGTCTTGTATGTAGGACATTTTGTTTTCCAGAGTATCTTGGCTTTCCATGCCTGAAATGTTCCCCTGGACTTTGCAGCCAGACTGGAATGCCATTAAGGATAATTCTGAGGTCAGTGCTACTTTTAACGCAATTGTCCTTCTATGAGTCTGCTCTATGGACTGTTCCCCATGTTGGACATTCACTCCTTCGTAATTCTGTTACTGTTTCCAAACACTTAGCCCTATTTATATGATCATTGCAACACTTGATCCTATCTATATGGTCACTTTCTGCTTATTTCTAACCATTTGATCTTTGTAACACTTAAGCTGCTATTTTGTCAGCCAGCTTAAGGGATTTTTGGGTCCTATGGCTACTTGTCAAGCTGTACTCTTGGAAGTCATTCCGTAGGAATGTGTGTAGGACTGTACTGCTTTGCAGTTGCAAGCTTCATGCGTTTCACAATTACAACTTTAGGATCTTGGTGATTCTTCCCACTGTGGTCACCCTTCCACCTACACTCCCCCCCCTTCCTCTTCCCTATTTATTCTCACTCTTATTCTTTACTAAGATCTGTTTATTGGCCGGCTCCCCGGCTCACTAAGGTAATCCTCCGCCTTGGGGTGCCGGCTCACCGGGTTCTTGTCCCGGTCGGGGTGCCGGATTCTGTCCCGGTTGCCCCTCTTCCAGGCCAGCTCTCTGCTGTGGCCAGGGAGTGTAGTGGAGGATGGCCCAAGTCCTTGGGCCCTGCACTCCATGGGAGACCAGGATAAGTACCTGACTCCTGCCTTCGGATCAGCGCGATGCGCTGGCTGCAGCACGCTGGCTGTGGCGGCCATTGGAGGGTGAACCAACGGCAAAAGGAAGACCTTCCCCTCTGTCTCTCTCTCTCTCACTGTCCACTCAGCCTGTCAAAAATAAAAAAAGTTCTGTTTATATTTAACTACATACATAGATGATTAACTCTATGTTAAGTATAGTGTTCAATGAATCATATGAAAGAGAAGATAAGGAAAATATTAGAAAGGAAAAGATAAACAAAATATAGAATTAGAAGCTATTTCTCAACAGTTGAGAGAAGGCTGTTCCAGATCATTGCTTGTCAAAGTGTTCATTTCATTTCTCCAGGTTGTCCTTAAGGTTCTCTGTTAGTTATCCCAGGTCAGGGAGAACATACAGAATTTGTCCCTTTGGGACTGGCTTGTTTCACTAAGTATGATGTTTTCCAGTCTCATCCATTTTGTTGCAGATGACAGGAGTTCATTTTTTTTTTGTTTACTTCTGTGCAGTGTTCTATGGTGTAGCTATCCCACAATTTCTTTCTCCAGTCTTCAGTTGAAGGGCATTTGGGTTGATTCCATGTCTTTGCTAATGTGACTTGAGCTGTGATAAACATGCAGGAACAGAGAGCTCTTTCATATGTTGATTTCATTTCCCTTGGGTAGAGTCCCAGGAGTGGGATGGCTGGGTCATATGATAGGTCTGTATTCAGATTTCTGAGGTATCTCCATACTGTCTTCCATAGTGTCTTCCACAGTTTACATTCCCACCAACAGTGGATTAGGGGACCTTTTTGTCCACATCTTCACCAGTACTTGTTGTTTCTTGATTTCCATATGGAAGCCACACTGGGTGGTGGGGAGGGGTGATGTGAAACCTCATTGTGGTTTTGGTTTTCATTTCTTTGCAGCTAGGGATCCTGAGCATATTTTCATGTGTCTGCTGGCCATTTGGATTTCCTCTTTTGAAAAATGTCTGCTTAAGTCCTTTGCCCATTTCTTAACCAGATTGTTTTGTTGTTGTTGAGTTTCTGGATCTCTTTATATATCCTGGTTATTAATCCTTTATCAGTTTCATAGTTTGCAAAATTTTCTCCCGTTTAGTCAGTTGTCTCTTCACCTTGCTGATTGTTTCTTTGCAGTATAGAAGCTTCTCAATATGATGTAATCCCATTGGTTGATTTTGGCATTGATTGCCTGTGCCTCTTGAGTCTTTTCCGGCAACTCTTTGTCTGTGCCGAGGTCTTGTGGAGTTTCTCCAATATTCTATAATAGTTTGGTGATGTTGGGTTGTCGATTTAGGTCTTTAGTTCATTTTGAGTGGATCTGGGTGAAAGGTGTCAGGTAAAGGTCTTTTTTCATGCTTCTGCATGTGGCAATCCAGTTTTCTCAGCACTGTTTGTTGAAGAGACTGTCCTTCTTTTTTCTTCTGAGAAAAGTTGCTTAAAAAATGGGAGAAGCATTCGCACTCAGTAAAGGAAGGTGGGTGGGGAGGATCATGGATCTTTCCAAATTGCCCTCAGACTGTTGCTAGGAGTATGTCAGAGGGAGAGGCAGACGGGTGGAGGTGAAAAAGTAAAGTCTCAGGTGAAAGCTCATGGGGCCCTAATTGGTTCAAGTGAGCTAGCACCTAACAAAAGGTTAATGATTAATATAGGTTCATTGAAATAAAAGGGCAGGATTCTGAACAAGGGAGAGAGAGGCAGAGTCTGCAAAAAGCACTGTTTGGTTCAGGGACGTAGCCTCCCAGGCCTGCGGTGCAGGGCAGGGCATGTGAAATATTTATTATTGTTGTCACTCTAACTCTCTCCAGGATGGCCTGCCTGCTTTCTGCAGCTCAGAGAGCGTCTGCGGGGGTTCTCTTCGTGGCACTCTGGGGCACGGTGCTGGGTGACAGGCTGCTGGTGGTGCCCCAGGATGGAAGCCACTGGCTTAGCATGCAGGACATAGTTGAGGCTCTTGGGGCGAGGGGGCATGAAATCGTGGTGCTGGTGCCAGAAGTCAACTTGCTCTTGAGAGAATCCAGGTTCTACACGAGGAGAATCTACCCAGTGCCGTTTGACCAGGAGGAGCAGAGTTACCGGTATCGCACCTTTGGAGAAAAGCACTTTACTGACAGGTCCTGGCTGAGCGAGCCTCAGACGGAATACAGGAAACTCATGGTTGTGATTGACATGTACTTCATCAACTGCCAGAGCCTGCTGAGACACGGCGACACCTTGGATTTCCTCAGGGCGGGCAAGTTCGATGCTCTTTTCACAGACCCGGCCTTACCCTGTGGTGTGATCCTGGCTGAGTACCTGGGCCTGCCCTCCGTGTACCTGTTCAGGGGCTTCCCCTGTTCCCTGGAGCATGGGTTTGGCGGAAGCCCCAACCCGGTGTCGTACATCCCCCGGTGCTACACAAAGTTCTCCGACCAGATGAGCTTCCCCCAGCGCGTGGTCAACTTCCTCGTTAGCTTGTTGGAGGTCCCTCTATTTTACTGTCTGTATTCAAAGTATGAGGACCTGGCGGTAGAGCTCCTCAAGAGGGAAGTGGACCTGCCCACCTTATTTCAGAAGGACCCCGTGTGGCTGCTAAGATACGACTTTGTGTTTGAGTACCCCAGGCCGGTGATGCCCAACATGGTGCTCATTGGCGGGATCAACTGCAAGAAGCCGGACGTCCTGTCTCAGGTGGGTGGGTGTGCTTCTCGCAGGCAGACACTGCTCTTCTGGGCTCTGTCTTCTCCCACTCACGTGTGTCCTGTCCCCTGGGAGAAGAAATGGTGGTGGGGAGTGGGGAGGGGTGCCAGGCCTGGAACAGCAGGGCTGTGGGGGACCTGAGGCCCAGGTGACATGCAGGTGTTGCAGTGAACTTTGGGCTCATGCCTGCTGACAGCCATAGATATACAGATACACTTAGTTTTGTTCTGGGGACAGTCCCAGGATCATTGCAGCAATGGCATTGCAGTCCAGCAGAGGTGAAGGCTTGACCAAGGCAATGTGTCTTTGTTGAAACCCACTCTCCCAGCTCTGTCCATGCTTTGTCCCTGGTCCCAAGGCAGGTGTGAGGAAACACACAGGCCAAATCTGCGTGCCGTCCTTTTAAAAAAATGTACTCCTATGGAGAAAGAAAGGAAATCGGGATATAGAGACAGTGCACCATCCACGGGGTTCACTTCACACAGGGCTGCACAGCCAAGTTAGAAAGCACTGAAGCTGGTGTGGAGCTGGAACTCAGGAACTCTGTAGTGGGATACAGTTGTCTCAAGCTTCATGCCAACTACTATGCCAGACACTTGTACCCACAGACCTGTTTTTAAATAGCCCAGAGCTAAGAATGGCTTTCATAGTTTTAGAGGGAGGTTAAAAACCAGCACCAGCACCAGCACCAGCACACAGAACTTGTGACTGAGCTGTGTGGCCTGCAAAGCTGACTGCTCACTGCTGGGCTGGTGCAGACAGGTGTGGGAGCCTCAGACCTCAGGGACTGTTCCTACATGCCCCCCTGAGAAGTGGGGCACAGTGCCCAGAGTCACTTTGGAAACTCAAAACCTGTGAGTTGTTTTTGTAAATTTTTTTCTACCTTTGACAGTTGTCAGACCACACCATCTTCATGCCAGAATTTCCTTTTCAATGCATTTTTCATCAGAAGAAGCCTCAGACAGTCCCAAAGACCTTTCCCGTGTGTCTTCCACACCAAACACTGGACACAGGTCCCGTGAGCCAGAGGGGCAGGAGGCTGAGCACACTGGGATGGGGTCCAGGGAGCCCACGTTGTGAAACAGAAACTCCGAGTGTCAGGAAGATTCAACCAGAGGTTTATGAGTACAAGAGATTCATTTGTTATTGTCTATCCAAAGGGATTTCTATCACAAACAAACATGGTACGTAAAAAGGAAAACACTGTCGTCTTTGGTACCTTGGTCCCACACACTGGTTCTGTGAGAAGAGTTGTCTGCAGTGACATTGAAACCAGAGCAGTGCAGGGTGCGGTCTCCATGCTGCCTCACCTGCGTGTCATTATCATCTTATATGGCCTTGAAGAAAACGACCTGTGTTAGAACGGGTAATCATTAGCTTGGACATTCAGTTCTTAGCAGCTGAATCAAGGTGCTAAGAATCAACTTGCCTTTTGCAGTAATCAAACCATTTCAACACTATGAAAAAGCATTCCCTTCGGAGTGATGGAAATTGTATTGGAACCAGGTAGAGGTGACCGTTCACGCCATTGTGGATGTGCTAAATGCCACGGAATTGTTCACATTAAAATGACTAATGTTACCTTACATGATGACAACTCAGAAGATTACCAACAACAACAAAAAAGAACATGCATCATATTTATAAAACTAAAGCCCTGATTCAGAGCTTAAAAATGGGTTCCTCATTAGGCAAATAACATAAGCAGATGCTACAAATACCAAACACAGCACAATGGCCTGTTAAACTTTGACCTAACTTCAGAAACAACCCAAGAAATTCAGGTTAAGAAGCAATGAGGGGCCAGTGTCATGGTGTAGCAGGTGGAGTGGCCACCTGCAGCATGGGCATCCCATCTGGATGCCAGCTTGAATCCTGGCTGCTCCATTTCCATTCCAGCTCCCTGCTATGGCCTGGGGAAGCAGCACAAGTTGGTCCGAGTTCTTGGGCCCCTGCCATCCATGTGGGAGACCTGGAAGAAGCTCTTGGCTCCTGGCCTCATCCTGGCCCCTCCCTGGCTGTTGCAGCCATTTGGGGAGTGAACTGGCTGATGGAAGATCTCTTTCTCTCTCTCTCTGTGACTCTGACACAAATAAATAAATACATAAATCTTTTTAAAATAAACAATGAAGTTCAATTTTGCCTATGAAATTAGGATAAAGTAGTGTTTTTTAGGTAACTATAAGCTATAATAGTATAGCCTAAACAAATATACGTAGGGCTGTGACTTCAGCTTCTACCTCTGAAGGTGAGGCTGACGACTTTCATGCACCTTCTCAGATTGTTTCAGGGTCGAATAGGACAGCAAGTGCTCTGTGGACTGGGGAGCCATGGCCCTTATTCCTCTCTTCCGTGGAGACTTCTAGCTCTATATGGGCCAAAACTTGGGAAAACAACATGGGTTTCTTGCAACATTCTTTCAGGAGCATTTTTCCGGAAAATTAGATCCCAACTCCTCAGGACTAGTTCTTCCGTGCCCACATTTCCTTCTCTTGTGTTCCAGAATCTTCTAAAACAGTAGTTCTCAAATGAGGGTAGGGGAGAAAGGGTGAAGTTATTTTGTCTCTAGTTACGTTTGGTGTCACCATTAGAGGAGTGATACTGCCCTCTAGTAGACACAGGTCAAGGATATTGCTACAAAAAGTTCAGTGCATAAGAAATGTCCACCTACCCATGGTGCATAATATCTAACTACCTACTTCCGGCAAAGTAATCTGACTCAAGAGGTCCATGGTGCTGAGGTGGAGAGACTCTGAAGTGAGGACCTTCCAAGTGCGTGTCTTCCCAGCAGGGCTCCCAGCCAGGTAATGAGAGGGACAGCAATTCCCTCTGCCCACCCTCCATTCATCAGGTCTCCCTGCAGGGGTCTCTGCAAGTGATGCTGGTCCAGGCTGAAATGTCAACATTTCTTGGCTAAGCCAAGAGGGAAACCAACCCCAAAATGCCATGTCATCCTTAACAGGCACTTTTCAAAAATGCATGACCCAGGCCAACACCTGCACAGCCTTTAATATGCTGCCCTTATTTCAAAATCCTGTGTTTATCTTTATGATTGATTCTTGGAGATTATCAGAGAAGTGGAAAATTTTGACAGCAGTGGTGCTGTTAATGAGTAATTATCTAAAAAGTAGTTAAATGCTATTGGATTCAGGGTTTTTAATGAAAGAATCCCAAACCCCAAAGCTTGGTCTTTAATTTATAATCTATGATTAAGTAATTATTCAGGATTAAGGCCTAATTAATGATTTAACAATTTGATTCATAATTCAGGTATATTTAGAGTGTCAGATTTTCAAATCCAAAAAATGGTTTTTGGATGTCTTTTTAAGTGGATTTTTTTAAAAAAGGTTTTATTTATTTATTTGAAAGGCAGAGTTCCAAGGAGAGGGAGAGACAGAGAGAGCTCTTTCATCAGCTGGTTCACTCCCCAAATGCTGAAATGGCTGGAGCTGGGGTGTCTGCAGCCAGGAGCCAGGAGCTTCTTCCAGGTCTCCCACATGGGTGCAGGGGCCCAAGAATTTGGGTCATCTTCCACTGCCTTCCCAGGCCGTTAGCAGGGAGCTGGATCTGAAGTGGAGCAGCTGGGACTTGAACTAGTGCTTATAAGGGATGCTGGTTCCGAGGACAGAGGCTTAACCTATTACACCACAGGGCCAGCCTTAAGTGAATTTTTTTCCTAAGAAAGCAGCTTTGTTGGGATATGATCACATGGCATGCAATTCAGTCATTTGTCCTTCACAATTCAGCAGACTTAAGTGTCTTCAAAGGTTTGTGCAACATTTACCAGAGTTAGCTTTGGAACATTTTTAGTCACTCCCCATGGATGCCTCCTACAGGACGAGTCAGAAAAATCCATGGACATGGAATAAAAGACAGGTTGGTTTTGGTGAGAAGTTGTAAAATGCATGCACACAAGGGGCCTTCCAAAAATGTATGGAAAAATATGTATTTTGAGAAAACTAAAAGCAAATTACAAATTTGTTTTGGGGCCAAAATAGATGTATCCGTCCTGGTTTCCTTGCATTCTCTCCTTATCCACCATTCTGGCTCCTCCTCCTTTGTGCCTGTGCTGTCATTGTCAGGTTCACTATACTTCTCTGTTAGAGGACCCAGTACACTATTCTAGGTGCATGGTTTTTTAGAACTTCTTTTATTTTTTAAAGATTTGTCTATTTATTTGAAAGTCAGTTACAGAGAGAGAGAGAGAGAGAGAGGTCTCCCATCTGCCGGTTCACTCCCCAAATGGCTGCAATGGACAAGGCGGCCAGGCCAAAGCCAGGAGCCAGGATCTTCTTCTGGGTCTCCTATATGAATGGCAGAGGCCCAAGTACTTGGGCCATCTTCCTCTGCTTTCCCAGGCACATTAGCAGCGAGCTGGATGGAAGTGGAGCAGCAGGGACTCAAACCAGCGCCCATATGGGATGCCAGCACTGCAGGTGGTGACTTTTCCTGCTATGCCACAGTGCCAGCCCCTTAGAACTTCTTTTGTTAATGGAATAAAGTAGAGGAAATATGCATTTGTACATCCTTCACAATTGCAGGTGTTCCCCTTTGCCCTTTTGTGTGGATTCATGTTACTGTGCGGGGTCATGCGCTCCAACCTGATGAGCTTCCATTGGTGTTTTTTGGTCTATTGAGTCTGCTAGCGACGAGTGCACTTGGTGTTCTGCTTGGGTGTCTTGCTGAGCAGCGTTTGGACCATGCCGTGGACTAACGCTGACCAGACCCTTGTCTTCAGAGCTGGTCAGACTTGTCCTTCAAAGTTACAAATGTTTCTGTCAGGTGCACACTAGGCAGATTTGAGGAGTCAGCAACGGGGCACACCCTGCAGCTATGGGTAGAAGCTGGCGGAGTGGCTGGTGGTGACAGAGAGCGGTGTGGGCTGGTCAGTGATGTGTTTATCTGTTTCATGTCAGCTCCATGTTGTGTTGATTACTCTAACTTTGCAGAATATGTTGAAGTCAGGTAGAATAATGCCATGTTGTGTTGATTACTCTAACTTTGCAGAATATGTTGAAGTCAGGTAGAATAATGCCTGCTGCTTTGTTCTTTGCTCAAGATTGCTTTGGTTACTCCTAGGTTTTGTGTTTTCCTGTGAATGTTACTATTTCTTTTTCTAGTTCTGCCCAATATTTCCTTGGTATTTTGATAAGTTTGGCCTTGAATCTGAAGATTGCTTTGGGTAGCACTGACATTTTACCAACATCATTCTTCCAGAACATGAACATAGTATATCTTTTCAATGTTTTATGTCCTCTTTAACTTTCATAATTCTTAGTGTGGTGATCTTTCATCTATTTGGTTGAATTTATTCTAGAATTTTTGTGTCTAGGGTAAATGGGGTTTCTTTCTTGACTTATATTTTAGAGAATGCTCTATTGCTGTATAGAAAGCTACGGATATTTGTATGTTTCTTTTGTATTCTGCAGCGTTGCTAAATGTATTTATTAGTTCTGAAAGATTTTTATGCTTTTTTGGGGTTTTCTACATATAAGATCACATCATATGGAGGTATTTTGAGTTTGTACTTTCCAATTTAAATTTAAATGTCTTGTATTTCTTTTTCGTGCCTGATTTCAATGGCTAGGACTTCTAGCACAGTACTGAATAAAAGTTACGGAAGTTGCATTCCTTGTCTTGTTTCTGATCTTTCAGAGAAAATTTTCAACTTTTCTCCATTATGGACGCTGTTAGCTTTGGGCCTATTATATTATGGCACTTAGCATGTTGAGGTATGCCTCTTCTTTAGCTAACTTGTTGAGAATTTTCATCCTTAAGAGGAGTTGGAATTTCATTGAAAACCTTTCTGCATCAAGGTCTTCCTCCTTCACTCTGTTGGTGTGGTACATCATGTTCATTGATTTCTCTACGCTGAACCATCCTTGCATCCCTGGATGCATTCTGTTTGATCAAGGTAGAGCGTCCTCTTCATGTTCTGCAGTGTCTTTTGTTCAGGATTTTTTGCTTCCTTGTGGTTTTTGAAAATTGTTGAGTTTCCTGAAAACAGCAGTTTTGAATTCTCTGCTGGAGAGATCACCCATGGCTATCACTTTTTGATTGGTTTCAGAAGCTTTATTTTTGTCTGTCTGGTGAGGCTGTGGTTCTCTGTAAGATCCTGGTGTTCACTGACCAATGACCACATTGGACAATCGAAGGCTTAGGCACTCTTTCCATTCTTCCCAGTCTGGCTTTGTTTTTATTACCCAGAAATCCTAAGCAGGCTGTTGATACTGGTCTCTGTGCCTGTGTTCTCTGGTGCTGTGTCAGCACTAGATGGCACCCTAAGTCCACCTTTGCTGTGAGTCGGCCATCTTTGTGTTTTCATGGTTTTGGCACTAGAGGGAGCCCAACCAAACTTTGTTGCAAATCTATGACTGTGTTTGCATGTTCCGCATGGTTAACTTGATGAGTGATTGAAGCATAGTCCTCTGCTCAGATCTGTGAGCCAGGGCCTGGGTTTGGGGCAGGGTCTGGTAGCCATCCACATTCATGGGGTCAGGTGCTGTGGATGCTGCCAGACACTGGGCCTCACCATGGTGGGTCTCACCCTTAGCTCCAGAGCAACAGCCACTGTCTCCCTCCCTCTTCTTCCACAACTGGACCCTGACTCTCTTCTCTCTGCTGTGTTGTTTGGTGTTGGGAGAGGATGTGGTAGGAAGTCCTGTGGCCACTGAAGCTGCTGCCACGCTGGGGTGCAAAGCCCACCTCCCATGAAACCCACGCAGCATAGGGTCAGTGCCAAGGCCCAGACAGCGCGGGCCTGCCTGCTCTTAAGGTCTACTCATGGCCCGAGACTGTTGCATGCAGTGGGGTGATAGAGGCTTGAGCACAAGTCCAACCCAAAGGCATCCAATGTTCTATGTGTGGGTGCAAGTGCCAGGGGCTGTTGGGTTCCTCTAGTGTTCAGATTCACCACAGTGGGTCCTACACTGAGTTCCAAGGCAAAATCTTGTAATTCCCTCCCTGTTCTAACCTAGGAAATGGAGTCTTTCAACACTCTGTGATTCTTCAGTAGGGTAGGGATGGTGGAGAGGTCCCTTGGCTACTAAGGCTGACACCAAGCTGGTTTGCACCTGAAGCTCATGGCTATAAGCACCAGTGAAGTCACAGATTGACCACCCAGGCCCAGGCCATCCATGGCTAGTGGTGTTGTGGAGCAGGTGTGAGTCCACTCTGCTGAGATCTGTAATTTCCACTGGGCCCTGGGATGGTTCAAGAGGCTCCATCCACAGTCACTGGTCTGGGGCTCTACCTGATATGGAATTCTTCTTGGCAGGCCTCATACTGTGTTCCAAGTCTGTGGCCCTTTTTTCAAAAAAATTATTTTAAAAGGCAGAGTTACAGAGAGGCAGAGGCAGAGGAAGAGAGAGAGAGAGAGTTCTTTGTCCACTGGTTCACTCCCCAGATAGCTGCAACTGCGGGAGCTGTGCCAATGTGAAGCCAGGAGCTTCTTCTGGGTCTCCCACGTGCGTGCAGGGGCCCAAGGATTTGGGCCATCTTCCACTGCTTTCCCAGGCAGTTAGCAGAGAGCTGTTTGGGAAATGGAGCTACAGGAACTCGAACCGGTGCCCATTTGGGATGACAGCACTGCAGGCGGCGGCTTTATCCACTAAGCCACAGCACCGGCCCCCATCTGTGGTCCATTTTTAATTTCCTTTGCCTTCACTAAGTGGCTGGTGTCTTTTTCTAAGCTGCACTGCTTGGATTTAGGGGAGGGCTGGTACAGGAAGCTCCCTCATGTCTTCTTCAATTCCTCTTTTCTTATTAGCATGCTGGCAATAACCCCAGGTGCTGTGCTCTTCCACATGGTTCCTCAGCTCTTGTGGGGTTGCTTCCATGCTAAGAGAGTTGTTGAAATCGACGTTTCTTTGGAGAGACAATCGCAGGAGGACCTGATCTGCTCTCTGGCTCCGCCCCAGTGTTATCTCAGGTTAGTGTCCCTGGCTCCTGTGGTTTGCTTAACCCTAAGATTTGACTCCTGTGAGGAGTTTGTGGAATTCTCCTCATGCAAAAGACCCAAGTCCAAGAAAGCTATATTTTTTTCTCTGTCTCCTCCTTTGTGATTTTAAATGGATTTAATTATGTTATGGGTGTTCTCAAAGAAATAACTTTTAGACTTGCTTATTCTTTTTACATTTTGTTTTCCATTCAATAAGTTCAGTTCATCTAACTTTAGGGCTTAGTTATTCGTTTTTTGTCTTGATGATCTGTCCATTGATGGAAATGGAATATTGAATTCCCCAATTATGGTTGATGCTGGAACTTATCTCTCCCTTTAAGATCTACTACTCTGTGGTATAAAATTAGATGATTCAGCATGAGATGAATATATATTCACCATTGTTAAATCTTCTTATTGAATTTATCTCTTAATTATATACTGACACATTCTCTTGTTACTGTTTTTTTCTTAGTTTATTTATTTGATATAATTACAGCCATTCCTGTTGACATTGACATTTGGTGGCCATTTTCATAAACATCTTTTTTCTTTCCTTATCTTTCAGTGTGTGCATTACTGTACTGGTTAAGTGAGTTTCTAGTAGGCAGCATATCATTGAGTCTTGTTTTTTTTTTTTTTTTTTGACATGCAGAGTGGATAGTGAGAGAGAGAGACAGAGAGAAAGGTCTTCCTTTTGCCGTTGGTTCACCCTCCAATGGCCGCCACGGCTGGTGCTCTGCAACCGACCCACAGTGCTGATCCGAAGGCAGGAGCCAGGTGCTTCTCCTGGTCTCCCATGGGGTGCAGGGCCCATCCTCCACTGCACTCCCTGGCTACAGCAGAGAGCTGGCCTGGAAGAGGGGCAACCGGGAAAGAATCCGGCGACCTGACCAGGACTAGAACCCGGTGTGCCGGCGCCGCTAGGTGGAGGATTAGCCTAGTGAGCCGCGGCGCCAGCTGAGTCTTGGTTTCTTAAAATCGTCTTAGCCAATTGTTTTAATTGGGAAATTTAATCCATTTACAATCTGATAATTATTGATATGTAAAGCTGTGTCATTTTGTTGAATTTCTGTCAGTTGGTTTGTATATTCTGTCTCTTATTGTTTATCCTCATGGTTATATCATTTTCTGTGTTGGAAGGGTTTTATTCTTTTCTCTTGACTTTTCATGTATCTGTTCATTTTGTCGGTTTTGTATCTTTCATGGCAGTATGACCTTCCTTCTGCTTCTGGGTGTAGGACTGCATTAGGAAACTGTAAGGTGGGTCTGGTGGCGCTGGTCTCTGCTGGTTTCTGCTATCTTGGGAAGTCTGTATTACTCCTTCATTTCTGCAGGGTAGTTTTGTTGAGTCTGTGTTCTTGGTGGGCAGGCTTTTCTCTGACAACTTTGAACATGTCATCCTACTTCTTCCTGGCCTATAAGGGTGAGAAATCTGCTGTCAGTGTCATGGGAGATCCCTTCCATGTGACTCTCACGCTTTTCTCTTGTTGTTTGTAAGGTTTATTTATTTCATTTATTTTCATCCATTTGAAAGGCACAGGGACAGAGAAAAAGAGAGGGAGAGAGAGATTGATTTTCCTTTACTGGTTCTCTCCCAGGTATTCACACCAGCTAGGGCTGGGCCAGGCCAAATCCAGGAGGAAGCAACCCCATGCAGGTATCTCAAGTGGGTGGCAGGGCTCTGGCCCTCATCTGCTGCCTCTCATGTTGCATTAGCAGGCAGCTGGATGGGCATAGGAGGAACTGGGCCTCAAATGGGCATTTCAGTACAGTGTCTGGGTTTCCAAGTTGCTAAGCTGCTAGGATCAATGTCCTCCTCTCTTGATATTGTCGGAAGTTTTTCTATGTCCTGGTCTTTTGATAGTTTGACTGTTCTATGGAATGTAGAGGACCTTCCTGGTGAAATCCGCTTGAGGACTTTGAGTCTCCTAGACCTGGATGTCCACATCTTCTCTACGATTTGGGACACTTTTAGCTGTTGTATCAGTGAATAGATTTCCCATGCCTTTTCCAGTCTTGTTTAATGTTGTCCATAAGTCTGGAAGTCCTTCTTTTTCTGACTCTGTTCGTTGGAATGTTCTGTCTTCGCATTTGGGAATTACTTCCTCTGCTTATCTAGTCTGTTGTTGCAGGGCTCAGTTGTATCTTTTATCTGTTGAGTTCTTCAGCTCTAATATTTCTGTTTGATTCTTTTCATGGTCTCTATTTTTTTCTGAATTTATCATCCGTTTCATAATATTCACAATGGTATCGACTTATCTGTATTTTCTCCGATCTCACTGAGTTTCTCTCAGACGCTTCTTCATGCATTTCATCGCATTGCTTTGCTTTGCGATGTTCTGCTGGTGTGTTATTCATTCCTTTGGAAACGTCATGTCACTTTACTTTTATACTCCTGTCCCTGTGTTGGTGTCTGAGCATTTGGTGGGTCTGATTCTGTACCTAGTTTATGGCTGGCTTTTGTAGTAAGAGAGTTTCTCCCAAAGTTGTATCTAATGCTGTTGGCTCTGTGCTGTGTTACTTTTGGTTCCAGTTGGGAGCCTTAGTGTGGCCTCTATACAGCTTCTCCAGCTCCATGAGAGGCTTTGGGCAGGGACACTGTGGCCACTGGGCAGACAGCCTGTCCATGCGCACAGGCTGTGCAGGATGGGGACATTCTAGTGGCCCAGGTGGGTATAGAACATATAGCAGTGGGGGTGCGGTACCCACAGTGTGCCTACTCCAGCAGGCCGAGTCAAGGGTGTGCAGTACACACAGAAGCAGCCCTGGGCCTGTCAGACCCTGCACAGGCCACGTGGACAAGGGGCTCCTCCACCAAACCAGGGTGGGTGGAGCAAGGTGCTGTATCTGTGGTGTCACGGCATGAAGCAGTCTCTGAGGGCTGCACTGGGAGGGGCACTCCAGTGGCCAGGAGGGTGCAGTGCACCTTGCATGGTAGCAGGAGCAGGGTACCCGAGTGGCACGACTTGTACTCCTCAGTAGCTGGGGTCTGTGCGGGGGCACTGCAGTGGCCCGAGTGCAGCTCTGCACCTAAAGAACAAGGAGGAGTGGGGCCGCCGTGAAGCCAACATCTGTCAGCTTGTGGGCTCTGTGTAGGTGCGATGTCTCTGTCTGTCCAGGGCAGGTCTCTCCATTCCACCTGCACTGCACTCCCCCAAGTGTTGTAGCTAAACAAGAGTTGTTTTTCTCTTAGTTTCTAATCCGTCTCTGTTGGGAAGTCCTCCGGTGTCTGTCACTGGCCATCTTGCCAGACCTGAGAGCACAGAGACTGCACAGTCATCCAACAGGGCCCCATGCAGCACAGTCCAGAATTGGGGCCAGGGTAGTGGTGACTCTCAGAGCTCAGCTGCAGCCTGCTAAAGTGGTTAAAAGAAAAATAGTAGGCAATGAAATGAAATTGATGTGGGAAATTACTAATTTTAAGTGCTTCCCAGTGGGCTATTGAAGGAGAGAGAGAGAGAATATGCAGCTCCCAGCCTCTCTTTAATGAGGTTAGGGGTACCCTATGGACAAGAAGGTATCTAGGGTATTTGATAGCACAACTATGAGCTGAATGTGGAGTTTAGTGTCTGTATTTCTTTGCAGTCTTACTTGCAGGGATCAGGTGAAGCAGATGCATCCTGGGAAAGGAGACATTTTGATTGACCAGTAAGAGAATAGAATGACACATGGGGAGATAGTCTGTGATATGTTACCTCTAGCCCAACAGATCCTAAAAGCTGCCCACATAGCACATATCAATATCAGTGTCCAAAGTCTTATTTTGATCATTGGAAACACAAGACATTGAACTAGGATGTCCCCAGAGAGAGCTGCAGGGTCAGATGAGTTTCTCTTAGATTGGGCCTTCAGATCAATCTCTGCTTGGTGGAGGCAGAGGGTAGGGCAGTCATAGGAGGAGGATAGTTTATTCCACAATGTTTAACTTGAGGAGGGCACCGTGGCATCCAATGACATGCTGATGTGATAAGCAGCCTGTTGATAGCATATAATGACTGGAGAAACTAGTACAGGAGGCACAACCCAGTGTGGACAGTGCGGTGCTGTTGGCTTCTTCTGTAATGGTGCTGGGAGTGTGGATTCCCCTGCAGCGGCTGGTGAGGCTGCTGCTCCTGCTGTGTGTGCTGCCCTGGGCTGAGGGCGGCAAGGTGCTGGTGGTGCCTGTGGATGGAAGCCACTGGCTCAGCATGCGGGAGGTTGTGCGGGAGCTCCACGCCCGAGGACACCAAGCCTTGGTCCTAGGTCCCGAGGTGACCATGCACATCAAAGGAGAGGACTTTTTCACCCTGCAAACCTACGCCACCCCTTACAGCAAGGAAGAATTTGACCACCTGATGCAGCACAACAGTCAAATGATCTTTAAACCACAGCATTCTCTGCAGATATTTTTGGAAACTATTGCAAGCGTGAAAAATGCCTCTATGATGTATTTCAGGACTTGCTGGGAGCTACTGCACAACAAACCCTTGATCAGGCACTTGAATGAGAGTTCCTTCGATGTGGTCTTAACTGACCCGGTTTTCCCCTGTGGGGCACTGCTGGCTAAGTATCTGTCAGTTCCTGCTGTGTTTTTTCTGCGTTTTGTCCCTTGTGACTTGGACTTTGAGGGCACACAGTGCCCGAACCCTTCCTCATATATTCCCAGGATGCTAACAATGAATTCAGACCACATGAGCTTCCTGCAAAGAGTCAAGAACATGCTCTACCCTCTGCCCCTGAAGTACATTTGCCACATTTCTTATGATCTGTATGCGAGCCTGGCATCTGAGCTTTTTCAGAGAGAAGTGTCGTTGGTGGATATTCTCAGCCATGCGTCCGTGTGGCTGTTCCGAGGAGACTTTGTGCTGGACTACCCCAGGCCCATCATGCCCAACATGGTGTTCATTGGGGGCATCAACTGTGCCAGCAGGAAGCCTCTCTCTCAGGTGTGTTTTGCTGTCATCTCTTATCAGTGCTCTAGGTAGAAAAAAATTAAAAGATAAATTTCTAGGTTCTTGCTTCTCTACCTAGCTTTCAAAAGAGTTCTAATTATTCTAGCGGGAGTATGAAGTAAGTTGAATTGTGAATTTTGTTTTCTATTTTACTGAAATATCTTTCTCTTTTCCTTAGGTTTCATTGTGTGTATGTCTTTTTAAAAGATTTTTTAAAAATTGATTTGAAAGGCAGAGTTGCAGAAAGGGATCGAAATAGAGAGAGATAGAACTAGAGAGAGACAGAGAGAAAGAGATTGAGAGAGAGAGAGGTCTTCCATCCACTGGTTCAGTCTCCAGATGGCCAAAATGGCCAGAGCTGAGCTAACCTGAAACCAGGAGTCAGGAGCTTTTTCTGGTTTTCCCATGTGGGTGCAGGAACCCAAGGACTTGGGCCATCTTCCACTGATGTCCCAGGCCATAGCAGAGAGCTGGATCAGAATTGGAGCAGCCAGGACTTGAACTGCTGCCCATATGGGATGGTGGCACTGCATGCTGCAGCTTTACCCACTACACCCCATGTGTATGTCTTTACTGGTTAAGTGAGTTGCTTGTAGGCAGTATATGCTTGAGTCTTGATTTTTTCCATCCAGTTAGCCAGACCATGTGTTTTAATTGGGATATTTAATCCATTTGCATTCAGATTATTATTGATCTGTAAGACATGCCATTTCATGAATTTTCTCCCAGTTGTTTTGAATATTTGTTGTTTCTTATCTATGCATATGGTTGTTTGGTTCTCTGTATTGGTAAGTTCTGATTATCTGGATCTTCCAAGTGTTTATATTGTGGGATTCATGTGTTTGCATGTTGTCATTGACAGTGGTGACCTTACTTACATTTTTAGATGTAGGATTCCCTTACACAACACTGGGTGGAGGCTACTCCAGTGGCCAAGGAGGTACAGTGCACCTTGCATGGAAGTGGGAGCAGAGCATTTAGGTGACAGGGCTTGCAGGTGTCAGTCACTGGGATCTGTGCAGCTGCACTCCAGAGACCTGAGTGGAGTTCTGCACATAATAGGCAAAGCGAAGCAAGTCAGGTGTTGAATCCAGGGTCCATCTGTTGTCTCTGTGGTTGTGCAGGGTGAGATCTCTCTGTGGGTCCAGTGGCCAGTCTCTCCATTTCATCTGCACTGCGTTCTAGCATGCTCCTATAGATATGGTGACCCAATGGTAGTTGTTTGCCTCTGATGCTTCTCTGTTGGGAAGTGCTCAGGTACCTCTAGTAAGCCATCTTGACTTACAAGAGAGCAAAGAATCTGCAGACCTATTAAAGATGGAAACAACGAGCAGAGAAGTGAATTGAGACCAGGGTATTGGTGATTCCTCAGAGCTCAGTCGCAACCTGTTAAAGAGTGGTTAAATAGAAGTAGCAGCAGATGAACTGATATGGGTGTTTTCGAAACTGCATGAAACACAGGCCATGAATTAATATGCTCCCAGTGAGAGCAGTAAGGTCAGATATACTTGCTACAGATACCAGCAATCAGATCAGTCTCCCCTGGGTGGAGGCAGAGTGTAAGGCAGTTATAATGACAAGGATTGATTTTTCCGCAGTGATTAACTTGAGGAGGGCACTGTGCCTCCCAAGACGTGCTGTTGTGTTAAGTGGCCTGGCGACCACAATATAAAGATTGGAATACCTGGTGTAGAAGACACAGCCTGGTGTGAAAAGTGTGCTGCTGCTGCCTTCTGCTGAGTTGGTGCTGGGAGTGTGGATCACCCTGCAGCAGCTGGCGGGGCTGCTGCTCCTGCTGTGTGTGCTGCCCTGGGCTGAGGGCGGCAAGGTGCTGGTGGTGCCCATGGAGGGAAGCCACTGGCTCAGCCTGCGGGAGGTTGTGTGGGAGCTCCACGCCCGAGGCCACCAAGGCCTGGTCCTAGGTCCTGAGGTGACCAGGCACATCAAGGAGAGGACTTTTCCCCCTGCACACCTAGGCCTCTACACTAGGTTGCATTTGATCTCATGCTTCAGCACAGCTCTCAAATGATCTTTAAGCCATAACATTCTCTGCTACTACTTTTGGAAATTTTGGGAAGCCTCAAAAATGTCTCTATGATGTGTACCAGGACTTGCTGGGAGCTACTGCACAGCAAACCCTTGATCAGGCACTTGAGTGTGACTTCCTTTGATGTGCTTTTAACTGGCGTGCTTTACCCCGCGGGGCACTGCTGGCCAAGTACCTGTCATTCCTGCTGTCTTTTCCCCTGAATTTTGTCCAATGTGACCTTGACTATGAGGGCACACTGTGTCCAAACCCTTCCTATTATATTCCCTGGTTACCAACAATGAATTCAGACCACATGAGCTTCCTGCAAAGGGTCAAGAACATGCTCTACCCTCTGCCCCTGAAGTACATTTGCCACATTTCTTATGATCCGTATGCGAGCCTGGCGTCTGAGCTTTTTCAGAGAGAGGTGTCGTTGGTGGATATTCTCAGCCATGCGTCCGTGTGGCTGTTCCGAGGAGACTTTGTGCTGGACTACCCCAGGCCCATCATGCCCAACATGGTGTTAACTGGGGGCATCAACTGTGCCAACAGGAAGCCTCTCTCTCAGGTCTGTATTGCTACCTTCTCTAATCAATCAGTGTTCTAGTTTGAAAGAAATCAAAAGCATATCTTGTGCATGTCTTTACCCATGTTTCCAGAGAGTTCTCTGTATTGTCCTGGGAGTCTGAGGTAAGACGAATTGTGGAAGTTTCCACAAGTAATGTCATTCAAGTTGCAATGGTCCCTAAGTAGAATGAGAGGCATGGGAGGGGCTCTGTCCTAAGACAGGCAAGCTAAGCTGTGACTCCACCAAGGCTGTCCAGTCGTCACAGCGCCATCTCCTGGGTGTGTGATTTCCTGCAGCTGTGCTGGAGCGGAGACTATGAATCGTGGGATTTTACTGCATATTTTCAATAGAATAATAAAGGAAATAGCAGTTAGTACATGTTGATATGAAAATATTCAATATGAGGTGGGGGAAATGGAGTTAGATTTTTATTTCAACTCTTGATTCTTGATTTTTTGCATCCAGTTAGTCAGTCAGTATGTTTTAATTGAGACTTTTAACCCATTTACATTCAAGTCATTATTGAATTTTAAAGACATGTCATTTTATTAACTTTTTGTCAGTTGTTTTGAATATTGGTTGTTTCTTATTTATGATGGTTCTCGTTTGGTTTTCTGTTTTGATAAGGTTTGATTCTTTTGATCTTTGGAGTATTTATTCTTGTCAATTTTATGTTTTGGCTTGATATCACAATAGTAGTGATCTGACTTTTGTTTTTATTTTAAGCACAACCTTAAGAAACGTGTAAGCTGAGTCTGGTGGTAATGATTTGCATCAGGTTTGCTATCTAAGAAGTTTTCTCTTTGGTCTTCAGTTATGAAGCATAATTGTGTTGAGTGTAGTATTTTTGGTTGTTGTTTTTCTCTTGTGAAGTTGAATTTGTTCTCCCATTTCCTCTTTGCCTGTAAGGTTTTTGATGAAAAATCTACTGTTAGTCTAATGGAAGTTTCATCCATTTGAAAGAGAGAGAGAGAGAGAGAGAGAGAGAGAGAGAGATTGAGATTGGTTTATTTTCCTTTCACTGGCTCACTCCCCAAATGCCACAACAGCTAGGGCTCTGCCTGACCAAAACCAGGAACTTGGAACCACATCTTGGTATCTCTTGTGGGTAGCAGGGCCCAAGCAATGACTTATCATCCGCTGAGTTTCAGGAAGCTGTGTTGGAAGCAGAGGAACTAGGCCTGCTATTGGCATTACAGTTTGGGATGTGAGTGTCCCAAGGTGTTGCCAACCTGTTTCATTTTGAAAAATCTTTATGTTTCTTGGTCCTTTACTAGTTTGACTGTCCTAAGCAATGGGCAGGACCTTTTTTGGTGAAACCCATTTGGAGTCCTTTGAGTCTCCTAGACTTGAAATTTCAATCTTGACCAAGATTTGGATATTTTCTGCTGTTACTTCAGTAAATAGGTTTTCTATGATTTTGCAAATTGCACTTACTGATGTCCCAGGAGTTTGGAAGTTTTTCTTCATTCTGTTTTTCCTTCTGACTGTTATTTCAGATGATCTGTCTTCAAGTAAGGAATACTTTGTTTGCTCAATCTAGTCTGTTGTTGAGGTGGTCAATTGTATTTTTCTCTTGGTTTGTTGACTTGTTTTGCTCTAAGACTTCTGGTTGACTCTTGTCATGATCTCTCTTGCTTTTTTGTATTTCTCATTTTTATCATGGGTTTTTCACAATTATATTGGCATATCTGTTTATATTTCCTTCTATTTCATTGAATTTTCTTGGAATCACTCTTTCAAATTCCTTTTCAGGCATTTCCTAGGTTTCTTTTCTTTGGGTTGTGTTGCTAGTACATTCCTAGGTCCCTTTGCAGGAGTCCTGTCCCCTTTCTTTTCCACTTCTTTCATAGTTTGTGTTTGTGCATGTGACAGATATGGGATGTATACCAACATTATAAGGAGTTTTTTGTAATAAGAGAGTTTCTTCCAAAGATGTGACTTACCATTTTGGTTTGTGTGCTGTGTTCGATTCAGCTCCTATTGGTTTCCTTAGTGTTGTCTTGTAACAGCTTCTTCAGCTCTACCAGAGGCTCTGGACATGGTGACTGTGGCAGCTAGGGCACAGAGCCTGTCCTTCCCACAGGCTGTGCTGGGGAGGGGACACTCTAGTGGCCATGGGTTGTGGAACACATAGCAATGAGAGGAGAGCACACATAGTGTGGCCACACCACTGGGCCCGGGACCTTGTGTGCATTACACAGACAATGCAGAACATGGGACCTGTCAAACTCCCAAGACCATGTGGTCTTGGGAATCCTACATCCTGTGAGGATGGGCTGCCTAAGGTGATATAACAGTGACAGCAGTCCTCTAGTTAGTCTCTGAGGGCAACAGTGGATGGGGGCTACCCCAGAAGTACAAGGAGGTACAGTGCACCCGAACTGGAAGTGAGAG